TTTTTGAATGTAATTGGTTCTGTAGTTTCTGAGATTATCTGCGTGATAAAATGGTCAGCAGAAAACAATAAACTGTACATTAGTCGTAATGACTAAAACAGTTTATCTTAAGTGTTGCTCATGAAGTAAAAAACACTCGATAAAATAGTGGGACAATCGGCATTTAAACCAACGCATCACCAGCCTGTTCTGGTGCAGAAAACACCTCTACCTACATTGAAACGTTTCCTTGTAAATATGTCAAAATATTATTAATTATACCTAAAGAGCATAAACTATATTTATAAGAGTTTTTAATGATCCCTAGGAAGTTGTTTTATTCTCTTTCATTTTTTCTTGGTTACTTGTTCACCTTTTTACTGTAAATATTGTTATTTATAATTGAAGTTTTAATTTCTTTAGAACGATGTACTGTTAAGTTACCACTTCCTGAGGATCAGCTAAAGAAGTATAGTCATCGAATCCATGGGGCGAATTGCTACTTTCATATTTAATTTCTCGATTTTTCAATTTTTCCATTTTTCAATTGTACAGTTGTCTGGTATTTGAATTTTACAATTTTATCAATTTAAAATTTTTTAGATTTTTAAATTTTTTATTTTACGAATACAGTTATCAATTTTTTCAATTTCTTAATATTTTCAACTTAATGATGCTTCAATTTTACGATTTTGCCATTCTTCGATTTTTAGCTTTATAATTTTACTATTTTTCATTTTAAATAAGTTCGATATATTTTCGATTTTACGATTATCCAATTTTTCAGTTTTGTAATTTTACAAACTTTAAATTTTTTGTTCTTTAATTTTTCAAAATATTGATTTTTTAGTTGAATTATTTTACAAATTTTCATTTCTAAGGGTATCCGATTTTTCAATTTTTGATTTTTCAGTTATCCGAATTTCATTGTTTCGATTTTCAATCTATGATTTCCTAATATTTCAGTTTCAATTTCCAATTTTACAAGTTTTAGCTTTTTCAGTTTCAGAATTTTGCAATTTTTTGTCTTAAATTTTTTTATTTTTCAGCTTTGCTTTTTTTACTTCCCGAGCGTAAGCAAAGGAAGTATTGTACTCGAGTCCGTCGGCCGACTCTCTGCTTTTACATTTTCTTGACCTTTCATGACCCCTAGAGGACGAAGAAAGACCTATTTCTTCGTCCTCTAGTTATTGTTAAGTTTTTAATCAAAATGTATCTGTTTATTAACCCCAAAAATTTGATTACGTCATCTCAAAAATTTGCGGAATAAATTCTTTAGAAAATGTGCAAAATATGTGAGACTATATCTACTTGTAACTTATCATTACATTCATATTTTTTAGATTTGCTTATACAGGATGACCATAAAAAATTAATGAATCAGTCAATTTATTAAAGAAAGTGAAACCAGAAGCGAGGGAAGTTCTATCGAAATAAGTTTCGACCAATTTTTCTATTTTACAATCGTCTGATTTTTCAACTTCAATTTTAAAATTATAAGCTTTTCATATTTATTATATTTTTTACAATTTTTAGACTTCTCAATTGTCCAGTTTTTAATGAATCAGTTTTTCAGTTTTTGATTTTTCAATATAAGATTTTCCAATTTATCGATTTTTCAATTTTTCGATTTTACATTTTTCGGTTGTTTGATTCTTCATTTTAATAATATTGCAATGTTTCATTTTTACAGTTCAATAAATTTTCAATCGAATTTTTAATTTTGTACTTTTACAATTTTTCAGGTTTTTGATTTTTATGTGTCATTATTTTACACTTTTTCGTTTTTGAAAGTATCCGATTGTTTAGTGTATCGATTTCATATTTTTTTGATTTTTCGGTTTTACATTTTTACATTTTTACAATTTTTTAATGCTTATCAACTTCTCAATTTTCAATTTTATAATTCTTTATTTTAAAATTGCTCGTTTCTTCAGTTATTCAGTTTTTATTTTTCAATTATCCGAATTTCATTGTTCCACTTTTTCAGTTTTTCAAGTTCTTGATTTTCTAATTTTGTTTTTGCTGTTTTTCGATTTTTCTATTTTGTAATTTTTTACAATTCTCTGATTTTTCAATTTTTCGATTTTAAAATTATTCGATTTTCATTTTTATTTTTATACAATTTTTTAGTTTTACAGTGTAATAATTTTTCGATTTTTCAATTAGCCAATTTTCCAATTTTGTGGTATTTTTACATTTTTTCGATTTTTTTATTATCCGGTTTTTAATGAGTCAATTTTTAGTTTTTAATATTTCATTATATCAGATTTTCCAATTTCTGCATTTTTCAATTTTTCGATTTTTCAATTTTATAATGTTGCAGTTTTTCATTTAACAGTACAACAAATTTTCTATCGATTTTTTAATTTTGTACTTTTACAATTTTTTGATTTTAAATTGTTCAAAATTTCAATTTCAGTTTTTAAGTTTCATTATTTTAGATTTTTTCGTTTTTGAAGGTACCCGATTGTTCAGTTTTCGATTTTACATTTTTTTTATTTTTCACTTTTACATTTTTGCAATTTTTTAACTCGGTTTTCATTGATCATTTTCTCAATTTTCAATTTTATAATTGTCGGTTTTTAAAATTTTTCGTTTTTTCAGTTATTTAATTTTTGATTTTAAATTTTTTTAAATTTCGATTTTCAATTTTTCAAATTTCGATTTTAAAATTATTCGACTTTCAATTTTATCTTTATACAACTTTTTAGATTTACAGTGTAATAGTTTACAATTATCCAGTTTTTCATTTTTATTATACTTATATTGTATTTTCAGATTTTTTCGATTTCTCAATTATCCGGTTTTTAAGGAATCAGTTTTTAATTTTCACTTTTTGATTTTTCAATTTTCAGATTTTTCAATTTTTCGATTTTTCATTTTTCAATTGTTCGATATTTCAATCATATTATCTTTGCGATCTCAAAATTTTTAGATTATCCAAGTTTCCAAATTTCTCGATTTTTCAACTTTTCGGTCGTAGACAAACATAAAAAAATTATAGGGTGTTAAAACTCACTTACAGGCTGCTATTTAGTTTCTTACACTGTTACTGGTATTGTATATAATTGTTTCAACGTATAAAGGTTATCAATTTATCATAAATAATAAAATGAATGTTCGAAAAATAACCTTGGACAATTTTTTTTTTCACAGTAGTGCAAAACTCCGTGGTTTCCAGTAGATAACACATCACATTGAAACTCTATTTAGTTAAAGGCAAATACGAAAAATTTTCTCTAATGCTTTATATTTTATATGTATGCTAATATGTAATTAATTTGGTGTGGTTAATTTTTCCTTCACATATTATATACAACTAAATTTGGATAGGATTATAGATTTATTTTAATAACGTGGTTTAAGAAATAAGGATCACTTTGTAACCAGAACCTGCTTTATACGTATATGCATATGTCAGTAGATATATGAACAAATTAAATCGTTTTTTGATAATAATTATGGGGGAACTTTGTGTCAAATAGACATGAATTCCCGACTATCTTGTAATGTGATCTTCAACAAACCCTTCCCACGACCTTCAGCTTTGCCGTTCTGACAACTAGTCCTGTCATAACTTGACCAATGTTGTTGCTAACCTTCCAGTGCGAGTTTTCCTATTCGCACGTAGTTATCAGATGGTTATCACCACATCAGCAACAGTTATCGTCGCGAAATAATTTAACGACGAAGAATTGGGTCACCATGAGAACTCTGCGGGACACTCGCCGTTTCGGTTTACCAAACAAAAAATTAATGACTTGTGATTATAGATTGATTAGACGAAAACAGCGGCAGTTCTAATGTGGATTCTACTTTTTCAACCGGAAGCAATTTTTCAAAGCGATGCAGCTTGAAGTCCTTGCATTTATAGAGACGTTATAATAATAAATTAGCATGGCAGACGATTTTTTTGCCAAGTCAATCTATTGATTGCTATCTCGCGGTGCACTTGTAAGGTAGTGGTAATTTTGTAATGAGAAAATATTAATGTGTGAACTTTTTGATAGGAAGGTTTACAGATCAATCTCTGTGCCACTTCTCACAAAGTTTACATCACAAGTTACATCACTTTGCTTTGATAATAGCCATTTACAAGGTAATTTATATGCAAAATAAAACTATTAAATACAAACGTTATCTGATACAGATTGAATTGATTATCGATAACGGCCCGGCGAAAATGTCGGAGAACCGATTCGTTTATTTGTTCTGGGAACTGTTCCTTTTTAATACTCGTATTTATATTTTTGTAAAACAATTTTCAGAATAGATTGTCGATAAGGAAGCAAACTAATTTATTCGAATTTAATGGACATTCTAGCAACCGAAATTAACAACACGTTACACATTTTTCCAAGATAAGAAAGAATTGTTATGAATAATGATAAGGCTGACGTATCTTCAGCTTTATCGGTAGAGCTTCGAATTCTTACTAGAAGCATTTTGATTTATGAAGCTTTTATGCAGTGATAAACGTATCTGATTGGCGGAACGTCACATACATAATATTTTTACTACTTGATCACTATTTATTGCACAGCTATAAAGTTCCGCCTTATCACACTTGTGATTTTTAAATTATAGACACTTGGTACATTAGCTCAAGTCCGGCACGATCGGCATGCAAGTACATACAATGTAATGAATTAACATCATATTTGTAAACTTTCCAGTCTGTAAATTTTCTTGAAAGTCACGAGGTAAACTTTTCGTTTCTTGAAAGCATGCGCGTTTAGCACGTAGGCGACGGATTGAAAAGAACCAGATCAAGTGATTTGTAACTTGGATTTGGCTAATCGAAAGTACTAAATTAAAATTACATACGTTAAATATATATTTTTATGGTTTTAACCTCGACGGCTCGCAAAAAGAGCAAATAACATTTTTACATTTTTTATGGCTTTCCTAGGTAAGCTGTCAAATCGATTTTAATATGTATGGTCTAGCAACAAATTCAATCGTTAGTACTGTCACCTGCTTTATGCCAAATTAATTTACATGTCTAATTTTTGCAGGTGATCCTCACGAGAAGCTGCCTCTGGATTTCCGCAATGAGACCGAGTTACGGAAAGGTAAGCTTAAAAATCGAGTTGTTTTCTTTTTCTGTGTTAATTCCCGGACTCCTACGCAGGGCAGGGTGATAAATTAAACCGATAAAAAGTAAATGAAAAAGTAAAACAATCCGCTAATCAAACAACAGATAGCATCTATCGCGGAATATTTATAAATGCAAATGAATATGAGTGAGATCTTTTTATCGTACCAAGGTCGGGCATGAATATAATCAGACCCTAATAAGTCCGGTAATTGCATGTATAATTTAACAGAAGGTGCCATGATAAAACCGTATCGAAAATAATAAATTCTAATTTATTCGAAAACTAGTTGAGTGCATGCGCAAAACTGCATGCTGTACCATCATTATCTCTTTCCTGCATTTTATATTAGGAAGTGTTACTGCATTTTTTATGTGATTAAAGTATTAGGCACACAATTCGTTTGAAAAATACGTGAAGCTACAAAGATGACATGAACAAAATATAAAAATGAGAAGATTTTGTTTTTAGGGTTTCGATATAAGTAATTATAATTACGTAGGCGTTTAATTTATACTAGTGTAATAAATGTACCTATGTAGGTACATTTTTTTCCTTATTTTCTATTTCTGAGTGTTTTTCAATTTCAATTTAATTTTTGATTGTAAATTTAATCACTATCGTATTCACATTTCAAAACAATATAATTTTCAAAAGCGGCAAGGGGATGATGTAATTTTAAAAATGTTTGGGTACTTAGTATTCCATTTTTTTAAACATATTTTCGAAAACTATAAAATGTTCAATAATTATGACAAAAGGAGTTAAAAATCAGTAAAGTAAATTTTCATTAAAAAAGTGTCACGTTCTTAAAAAAAAAGAAATGTGAAATGTCGACGAGTGCTTTTTCGTTTTACTTGTTTTTTGTTTTTTTTTTTATTTTTCCTATTTTACTGTATCATGAAAGTGTGTGAATCCTGAACCAGGTTTTCACGTTTTGACGTATAGTTAGATACATAATTACAAAAAATAAGTTGAAAAATAATTGTTTAATTAAAGAAATCTATAAAAGTTTCTTTTTATTTTTTACATAATATGTAATCATCTTTTTGGTATTTGTATTGATGAGGCGTTTACTTGTTTAAAATCGAGCTTTATTAATTATTACAAAACTAAAAACAACTTTTTAGAATTTAAACTATATATATTTTATCCTAGGGCACTCTTGCACGCGTGTTTCGGTACACGGTACCGTTTTTAGGCAGAAGTGGAACGAAGTAGTTGCCGTAGGTATTTTTAACTTTAAAAAGAAGTTGTTTTTTGGTAATTTAAACAAATTAGAAAATTACATTGTTTTAAAAAAATTAGAAAAACCCCGGAAGTCAAGAATATTGTAATAGAGTCTATCGGGTGAATGGCTACTTTCATGTTTTCTAAACGTTTCATGACCCCAAGCGTACGAAAAAGCATGTCTGCCGTTTATGAATCCGCCTTGAGTTTTTATGTTAGGCATCAAAATTTTCACAAAAAAATTCATCTATAGGTAACCACATCTTGGTACCATACCGGCTAGCGGCTTTTTTTTCTAACGCTGTGACTGGTAGATATATTTTGTTTAACTTGAAAATACAAAATCAAATTTTATAATTTTTGGAGGAAGTGGGATTTGTTAGACTGTACTTCAGGGGCGAGGGAAGATCCATCTAAATAACCTTGGGCAAATTTTGCTCTAAAATTTTGTGTTTACATAATCACTTTTTGTTATCACTGGGTTTTGCTGTGAAAAAGATCATCAACTTCACTATTTTTAACAGAAAAGGTTTCAGTGTTAAATTTAATTAAATTTGGGGTTTAGATCAGTGGTCATGAGGTATTAAATTTTTGTTTTTTCATGTTTAAATTCACTGCGTTTTATTACATTCCTAACAACTAATCTAGATTGTAATTACATGTTGTAATGCCCTTTTGATGTTGCTAGGACTTGTGCTTAAATTATATCAGAAAGTATGTTTTTTTGAAAATGAGACGGATTATTTAAAGATTTTTTTTTTAATAAATATTTTTTCTTTTAGTGTTCCGAAATTTTTATTCCTAAGAAAGTATTGTAGTAGAGTCCATCCGACGAATAACAACTTTCATGTTTTCAGAACCTTCCATGACCCTTAGAATACGAAACAATATGTCTCTCGTTTCCATGTCTCTGTCTGTCTGTCTACCTGCCGTCTGTGTCTATTTTTATTGGGCAAATGATATCTGAAACTGCCGAACCGATCGTTGTCAAATTTTATATGTTGTAGGAAAGTCGTGTAGTTCATAGTAACTTCTATTTAAATATTATGAACATACTCTTAGATTTGTGGTTCATGAATCCGCCTGATTAAATTCCATCTTAACATTTTATACCATATAAGAGCACTGCTGTGTGATAATCTGCGTGATTCTACCCTAAAAATGTAATAAGTACTAACACGAAGGTCGCTGGTTTGATTGAGTCATGGTTCACTTTTTACTTCCCGAGCTTAAGCTAAGGGAGTATAGTAATCGACTCCATCGGACGAATTGTCCTTTTTATGTTTTCTCGACGTTTTAAGACCCCAACAGTACCAAAAGGTAGTCTCCCACTTCCGTCTGTGTGTCTGTCTGTATCCATTTTTATTAGACACGTAATCTCCGAAAGTGCTGCACCGTCACCCCATTTTCTCGAACATGTGAAGAAAACTCGTTCAAATCAAACCAATTTCTACGTGACATTCTTTCGATGTATAAACATAAATCAACACTTGAGCTTCAGATTGCTATTACCTAGTGCTGAAGGACATTTTATCTCGTTAGTTATGTGCTTTAAATATATTCCACATTGTCCGTACGGCGCAGGGGCTGCGGGGGTGTTACTTTACAGCGGTTATCACAGAACGGAAAATCGTAAAATCACATTTTATAATTTTGGCGGAGCTGGTTTTGGCGGATTACACTTATAGCCTTCGACCAGTTTTTTATTGATCAAATTAAGAACTTCATTTCAGAGAAAGTGTGAGAATACCCATGTCTCTATTTAATTATGATCAAATAAGAATAATAATAATGATATTCAAAACATTATGTTCCATTGTGGCTTAATTAATAATTTTATTCCTCTGTTTCGAGGAGACAACTCATTCAAATTATACGAATTGCGTGACATTCTTTCGATATATAAACATAAACAACCGAAGTTAAGCATGTACACTGATAATAATATACTATTTTCCGTCGGTTATCTGCTTCCTTGGAATTTGCGCCGCCGCGACGCAGGGGGTTCGGGGTGTCATTTACACCACTGGTTTTTAATATAAAAAGATTACCAGAAAAAAATTTTTTTTTATAATTTTTCAAAGAAGCGGAATTTGGTGGACTGTACTTCAAGGGCGAAGGAAGTTCTGTCAAAGTAACCTTTTTTATTGAACAAATCTAACATGATTCACAGCATTTTTCCGAAAATTTGAGAATACAGTAATGTTGCGCCTGTATATATTTAATAGTAAAATAATAATTATTATAAGAACAGCTACTTACCCAAAATAATATTCAGAACGTTTTGCCCCATTCTACGTTAATTAATAATTTTAGTCGCCTCCTCTGTTTTTTGTATCTATTGCCACACTATTGGTTATCTGCACACTTTTTTGTTTTCTAATTTGCATGTGTTATCGTAAAAAGGAATAAAATTCTCAAAATTAAATATTATAATTTTTTGAAGAAGCTGTATTTTAAGGGCGAGTGAAACTGTTTATTCGCGTTATTAGAGTTCTTGAATGCTATTGTAAAAGCAATTATTAATTGAAAACAACTTCACACTCTGTACGGAATTTTTGTAACATAAGTCTTCGTAAATTAATTATTACATACATTGTGTTTTTTATCGTATGGAAATTGGAATGAATGTGATTAAAAAAAAAGAAACGAAAAATTGTACACATATATTATAGTGTTCAAATAGTACCAGGGGGTCGATTCTCGAACTCGTTCGCAAAGATGCGAGTACGAATAGATGCGCATGCCAAGATGCTATTCGAAACGAAAATCCGTCTTCTTGAACGAGATTCAATGCGAATAGCAACCCGATGCGCATACGAACGCCTCTGTTCGAGTGGCGATATGGCAACAGCGGTAAAATGCAGAGGAAATTTAAATGCAATGGTTGGCAGAACTCACGCGGTGTCGGTTTGAATCTAAGAAGGACTATTTTAATTTGTTACCTTCAAATTTATTAAGCAGCAAAACACGTATTAGCAGGATTGGCTCGATTTAAATTATTGCTTTAAAGTATTATTGTTTTTTTTTTAAGTTTTCCTTACAGTTTGGAATATGCAATGCATATTACGGCCCTTTTAATGCAAATTTATATCAAAATAAGTTGAACTTTAACTAGAACACAATATTTCCAACAAAATGGAACGATAATTTTTTTAAATTGTATTTTAAAGATTATAGGAGTGAATATTATATTAATAACACTATCAATTCCTTTTTTGCAATATAAATTACAATAAATTCTCTTTATTGTTCAAAACTAAGAAGTACGACTCAAGGATGACATTAAGTCGGATACTTACTATTTTAATTAGGATTTTAATTCCAAATAATTGACAGACTAAAAAAACATAAAAAAATCGTAATCAAAAAAAATTGTTGATTTTACGATTTTATGCAACCCTACGTATTTAATACAAATTATTGTGATTTTTTTACAATGATGCAGATACAAACTTAATGTTTATTTTTGAGTGGGACCACCACAGCCAGCAGGTATTTGCATATTAATACCTTTATTACTGCGTGTACTCTCCTAATTTATAGAAAATTCTTAGGGTTTGGTTACCCGATATTTATTCAGGTATACTTATGCATACCATTACAACCGTTTTGTACAGTAAATGATCTTTGAGAATTCATTTTAGTTTTTATTTTTGAAACAACTGCACGTATACGTATTTGAAATGTTGGCAGTGGCTAGCCAGAGTCACCTAAAAATTATTGTTACAACCATAATAAGAACG